CAGGAAGACCAACTCATTAGATCAATCACAACACCTTAGCCCAGGTGATACAATCAGCAACACCATAGCATCAAGTACCTCTTAGAAAATGACAATTTGTGGTAGTTATTAATCTATCACCTTTAACTGTGTGAATTAAATCAAAATCGGGGACCAATCCAACATATGTTTATAGTGAATAAACTTCAATATAGCAACTTTACCCTTTGGGATGGGGAGTTAGAAGGAGTTGGGGAGGGAGGAATAGATAGGTAGAAGGATAGGGGAAAGTTAGCAGTGAGGCCAGAGGACACAGGGGAGAGAAGGAAAAAGAGAATAAAAGAAAAATAAAGAAGAAATCTGAATTAGGGCCAGAAGAGGAACAAAAGGGAGCTGAAGAACAATGTGGGACAGCAAGAGAGTGAGTGTGAGAGAGAGAAAGGAAAGAGAAAAGAAAGAAAGAAGAGAAAAATAAGAATTTGAAAATAGTAGGAAAAAAATTAAAAAGAAGAATAAAAAAGCACCAATAATAATAATTTTGAAAATAACAAAAAATAAAAATGAAAACAAAGGGCCTCCTTCAGGGTATGTCTCTGCTGTCACTATAGACAACGTGGGGAGCAGTGTGCAGATATAAATCAATGAGTCTCAGCAAGCCAGTCTCAGACCCATGGATTCAGGCAGATTTCTGGCAGCAAGTCCCAAGTTGAGCTCCCTGTCCTTCTGTAGGGTTCAACTCTGCAGGTTCCAGTTGCCCTTCCCCTGGAGATAGTCTCGGTTTCAATGGGAGGTTATGATCCCTCCAACTTACCCAGTATGGTGGTCTGGTGGTCCGGTGTCCCTTGTCTTTGTCATGTGGAACCAGATGGCAATATAGCCAAGAGGCCAGAGAAGCGGGTGGGGGGGGGGTGTCCTGCAGGTGCCCACATGGCTAAATGGATCACTGCTGGGGGTGTGGGCTGGATGGTGCAGGTTCCCTGTGACCGGGGACCCCTCTGCGGCATCCGCAGATGTCAACTATATCATATTATATGCAATTTTGCTTTTATCCTATGCCATTCTGTTTTTATGAATAGGTTTAAATCATAGACTAGTGGTCAGAACAGAATGGGCAAGCTCTGGTGTAGCACTTCTCAGGCTTGCACTTGCAAAATTCCTTCCCCAGAACAATTGATGTTTTGTCATCCATGGTAATGTGGTCTTTTGAGAAAACCATAGATACTTGAAATATTCATTGTTTTAGCTTCCTTTTACTGTCCTAACCTATATTTTGGCTGATTCTGAGTAATGCTTGTGGGAAGCATAAAAGGAAGAGAAGTGAATTTGGATTATCACCAGATCTGGAAAACTCTCTAGCTTAGACTTCGCATGGAACACATATCTAGAAATTTGCCCAGAATAATGTGTATAACACATTGTAAATGTAGTGATGGGTGGGTATGGAGGTGAAGTTTTTTGTGGGAATAGTTGCTAAATAAGAAAAACTGGTTTTGTTTCAGACTTGAGGCTGTGAGTGTGGCAGGTAATTTCCCCAATGATTACTTCTCCTAGAATTTCCCTGCTTTACTTTGTCATCCTGCAAAAGCCATTTCTTTCCTTTTATTGATCTGGAAATTTAGAGCAGAAATACTGGACTTTACCAAGAGATACTAATATGCTCAAGTTATCCTATCCTTAAATAAATCAGACATGACCACGTAGCAAGAAGTATGTTCAGTTATTTCCTCTGTCTCTTTTCTAGTTAACACACTTTCCTTAAGATGTTGCTTAAATAGAATGGAATAAGACATTAAAGTTTCATAATTATGGAGAATAATCCTCAAGGTTTTCTTGCTCACATCAGGTTAATCATTTCCACATTACTGTAATTGTAAGAAACTATGTTGAGGGTACAGATTCAGATTAGTCTAGTATTTAATAAGAACCATGTATATGCCAGACATTTTACTAGAGTATCTTAATAAAATGTATTTAATAACATAACAAGGCATATTTAATCATCACAAAAACCATAAGAAGTAGCTGATATTTTCTCTGTGTGAGTGTTGCTTTCTCCAGGTCCCAGAGCTGTTAGTCATTTTTACACTGTTTGTTTGTTTGTTTATTTATTTATTTATTTTTTGGTAGGGGCTCGAACTCAGGACCTTGCACTTGCGAGGCAGGCGCCGGAACCATTGAGCTAAATCCCCAACCCTACACTGTTTATTTAGCTCTTACCTGGTACTGGACACTGCTGACAGCTTTGCCTTTGTGGTGTTATTTAATCCACTCAGCAGCCTTATGAGGTGGATGGTTTCAAATCCATTTTCACACATTAGGAACCAGTGGTTGAGAGGAGTGAAGCCACCTTCTTAAGATTGTTGATTGGTGAGGGAGTTTGAGAATGCCCTGTGTAGAAGTCAGTGGAGCCAGAATTTAAGACCCATTCACAATACTCCCTTCTCTGAATTGTGCAGTGGCGGTGCCTCGGAGCAGACACCACTGCCCTCAGTGACTGGTTGCTGTCTCTATTTGATTCATGGCCTCAGCTGAGTGCTTGTCCTCCTAATGGTACAGCTCCTGCAAAGGTGCTAGGCGGAGGGGCCATCTGTAGCTAGTTCCTGGTTCCTGCTCACCAGCACAAAGATAGCCTTGGACAGCACCATTGATACTGTCTGTGCAGGAGCTCTGCCAACACTGCCACTGGGGATGGCACTTTTCTGCTCATAGCTCCCCGAGCTGAAACCTTACTTGATCTCGATCTTCTCCAGACCTCTCATTAAACATAAAGAAAGACCAGTTTACAATGGGAAAGTCACACATGCAGTTTAAAATGTCTGTTACTAATAATATTCATTCCCCTGTTCCAGAGGATCAGCTTCAAGTTGATGCATGGAAAGGAGGGACAACAAGTAAAATTCTAAATAATGGAAAGTGATCAAACTTGGAAACTCCCTGCAACTAAGTATGAGACAGAGATTGTCCTATTGACAATTGGGTACATCTAAATTAGCCATATTCTTGCCTCATAAGCTATGGTGTGGGACAAATAGTGAGGACAGAGTGCCGTGTAGTTTGGCTTTTCCATTTGGCCTTTCCAGAATCCTTACTAAGGAGATTGCAGGTCTCACATAAATGGATTATTTGGCAGTTGGTTGCCAAAGTATTTACACTGTGTGTCTGAATTTAATGGTAGCCAGTGGTTCTTTTAGATCAAGCTCCCAGGTGTAACTGATCATTTTCTCATCTGTGATCCTAAAGAAATTTACTTTTAATCTTATTTATGGATCCTAATATCCTGCCAAAATGTATTTATGGAAGTGCTTTATTATATATTTATTTTTGAGGTCTTTCTTTTGAAACAGCTGCTCATTAAAATGTGTAGGGCAAGTGTTATATACTTCTTCCTGTCATTTAGATGCTGGTCTTCTGGGATTTTGAGAGCCAATATGTTTAATAGTTTGCTTTAGAGGAAAACTGAAAAGATAAACAAATGTAAGTGAGCAGAATTGGTATGTATCCAAATCTTGAGAGTGATTATAAAAGTTTATATTGAAATCCTATTTTAGTGCAGTGCTGGTCTCTATTATCCATTATTGATTTCACAAAGTAGGAGTTTGAGTATCTTTCCTCTGACTCTTAAACCCTTGTTTTAGTGCAGAAAGTGTCTTGAAAAAGGATCTTTGATGTCTTATGACAGGAAGCTCATGAAATTGCACTCAAGGATGTAGCTCACAAAGAACAGTTTCCAGACACCATCAGCACTGTGATTTCACATTTGCTGTTTGTCTCTGAAAGCTCAAATGGCTCAGATATCTCAGCTCATAGTCGAAAGTCCCATCATCTAACATTAGCGTGTCCTGTTACACCTTAAACACTGTGGCCAGGTAGATTGCCTTGATTTGATGATTAGAAATGCTGTGTAGGAGGAGACAAAATGCTGAACATGGTCAAGGAAACAGCTTTACTTCTGACTGTAATGCTAGGGAAGTCACCTGCCGTGTCTCGCTTCAGAGTCCCTGCTATATATAAGATGGGTATAAAATATATGTAGGGTATGTTCCAGGGTTTAAATAAATAAGTAGAGTAATGTAAAACAAATTCACTTTAAGCTTCTTAGAACAAAATAGTAATAGAAGACTAGGTTTTGTTAGTCATAATTTATTAATAACTTTCTTTTGGGAATGGATTCTTGTTTGTTTCATTGTTTGGGCTAAACATCCTTTAGTTTATTTGATTTCCTCTGTGATTCATCACGCGACAGAGTACAAAGACAGGCAGGTGACCCCTGGTAGCAAAGCCCAGAGATCAGAATGGATCGAAAATGGAACAGAACTAGGTCTCAGGCTAAAATTTTGTCTCCTTTAGTTTGTTTTCCTTGTTTCATTTTCTTTCCTAGATTCCTTTATGACAGTAAGGAAACATTTTTGAATTGCTCTAAGTTATGAACCAGACAGGGTAGATTTTAGGCAAAATCAGTGAACAAGACCTGTTCTCTTCATTGTCCCACATGCATCTCATATTCTGACTCCCACTCACCAAATAAAGCTGCCTGTTTCTCCTCTGGTGTGTATAGGTGAGATCTGAACCATGGCAAACAGAAAGGGTAGTATAGGGACTTGGACTGGAGGGCAGGGACCCAACAGCAGTTTGCTATTGGAATGTTCATGCGCTGTGTAATCTTAATAGACAAATAACCTGAGGGCTGTTATTTCAAATGGCATAAATTAAGGATATTCTCTAACTGCTTATTTTATAACAAAGGAAGCTTACCATAAGAGGAAAAGAGTTTATCTGATAAATAAAAATGTTGTAATGAAAGTATTATGTTTTAATTTTCATAAAACAAGGAGAGGGGAGATGTGTTTAAATCTTTGATTATTTTATTTATCTTGGTGAAAAGTGAACAGTTATAAATCAAAATTCATTATGCCTTGTGTCGTTACCAAAGGCATTTTAAATGCCTAGTTTTTAAAAAGCTAATTATTCATTTAGGCTGTTCCTATATAAATTTAAGATAAAAAATTTTTCTTTTCTTACAGTTAATATCTCAGTACCTAATGATACCACATTGTCCTTAGAGGATTTTCCAACTGTTTCTTCTACTGACATGGTAAGTGACTTAATATTTTAAAACCCCTATGAATTTACTGCTTATCATATATATTATTTGCAATATTCATAGTGTGGTGTTGTCTACCATTCAGAAATCCTAGCATGAATGTGTTTAGTAATCATTGATTGTGAAGGAAAAAAAAAGAATGTTCTTCTTTGCTCTGGTTAGCATTTGAGGGGAGTCTTTTTTTGAAAAAATTGAAGCCAGTATTTATGTATCATATGCTTTTCAAACCTTCATAAGAATTTAACTACTAGATCCCATTAATTGTGACCCTGGACGCAAGAGCTGTGGAAAACTGAGAGCAGAGTCTGCTCTCTGTGTCTAGCGTAGGTCAGAATGCTTCCGACTAGCCCAGTGGCACTGTGTTCTTTTCACTAGGGGTGATTGTAGCAGGACATTTCCCTTGTTACTTAGAAGGACTGTGCCTCCATCACATGATATCCTTTTCCATGGCTTGTAACCAAGGATCTGTAGGGGACTGGAACTAACCTTTCAAAGTGAGCTGTTTGGCATGGAAGGTCACACACTGGAAGGAGACTTTTGTACTGAAGAAGAAGGGAAAAGTGCTGTTTCAGGCTTCTAATTGTGCTCCTTCTGTGCTGAATATGGACTCTTACCAAAAAATATCAATCTCCTGGTTATAAGAACAGAAAGCATAATACTTTGTGTTGATAGAGTGCCCATCTCTCGGGAGACTGGAGCCTTGCTGTAGATATTATGTAGTGAGAGCCCAGTGTCCCTTTCAAAAAGGATGCTTTGTATGCTTCCTGGAAAACTCTTGTATGATCCAGTCCCTCAATTTTCTCCATGTTCCACAGCTCTTTTGACTTCTTTCCTTACAGTTAGAGATTTTCCTGCCATTCTTCAATCCTTAACCTCTCTGTTCTTAATGTTTGATAATGTGTGTGTGTATCTGTGTGTGTGTGTGTGTGTGTGTG